GTGGAGGGTCGAGAGCAAAGTGGGCACTGAGCCAAACGGGCCATGCCGGGTGCAGAGCAGCGGGTCGAGAACAAAGCGGGCCATTAGCCAGCTCTGGTCAGCTCCGCAGGTGTGTGTGGGAGATTCAAAGCCACTTGCTGCTAGTTGTTTCAGCCAGCTCTGATCAGCTCCGCACAGGTGGGGGAGGCTCAAGGTCACTTGCTGCTAGAAGCCAGCCTGGTATTGATTCTGCCATAACACAAACAAAGACTAACAAGAATAACACAGTAACATGGATGAAAAGCTTCAATAGGGAATAAAGCAGAAAATATTAAAAACGAGAACAAATTTAAATGGGTCATGTGGGTGATCAGGAAAGGGTGCTAAATTTTAACCTCACCGCATCTGCAACGATCCACTTTCCATGCTTTCTGCATGTTAGCAAGGCTATTCACATCCCTGGTCCATGGTCACAGGGATTCCCCAGGGGCTTAATCTACGTGTATTTCTCCTTTGCTTTTTTTTTTTTAATGGGTCAAAAGGGAGATCGAATGATATGATATTTCATTTTGCCCCAACCACATCTACCATAATTACAATGCTCTCTGTCTGGTAGCAATGCTATTCATAGCCCTCAACTGTGATCAGAGGGGATTCGCTGGCGGCTTATCCATGTGCTTATCCTGCAAATGGATTTTGGATTTATACCATCATCCACAGCCTTCTGCAAGCCAGGCGTTCACAATCGAAGCGTTGATACCATTCCCTCCTTGAGATTGGGATGATATGCTTTGTAATCCTTGGATCACACAGGCTGGTGTGCTTCTCCCATCTGGTCTTAGTTGACGCCTCACTTTGATGGCTGCTTGTAGAAGAAATTCTTAAGTAATTTCACAACACAATTCTGAATTGAGGAAAGCAGTTTAAACAAGACATCTACCCAAAAGCCAGCAAGGAGATCATTTTACTACCCAAAGACTTTTGTTTGGCACAAAAAGTACATGTTAGGGTAAAGAGGCAGAAACCCAAAAGTCCACTGCCATTGGTGTTGATTCTGACTCACAGCAGAAACCTTGCATGGGATTTCTTGGTGGTACATCGTTACAAAGGGAGACAGCCTCGTCTTTCCCCCCCAGGACAGCTGGTGGGTTTGAATCACTGATGACACGGTAGCTAGAAGTTAAACATGTCACCCATGATGCCCCAGGGCTCCTTACAAAGGTGCCAGCTGACCTATGTGTAACACCAGGATTAAGTAGACAGCTACTTTTATTACTGTAAGAACTTTCTGCCTTATCCATGCCAAAGGGGGGAAAAAATGAATCAGAATTGAATTTGGAATAACAGCAACTTGTTAATGATTGAAAAAAAATTGATTACATTCAGTGTTGACAAATGTGTACTTTCACAAGTCTGCAAAAACAGGATGCTCGGTGAAAATGTGCTTGCTACAGCAAACAAATGGGCCAAACTGTCTGTTAGAAAGAGGTAGCTTAAATACATGTGTAAAACAAAGGGAAGTAATCTATCTGGGAGTGACCTATACTCTTTTTTACAATTTGTACTTGCTTAGTGTATTGACAGAGTTTACATTCAGCATTAGCCAGCTGGACTCAGTGTAGATGATTCCAGTTCTCTGGGGAAGATCTAAAGCGTCAGAGACGAGCCAGTCAAACGGATGCCTCTTTCTGCCATTAGCCGGATCGGATGCCTCTTTCTGCCATTAGCCGGATCCAGGTGCTGACATGGCCCATGTCATTGTCACAGAGCTCTTCACAGCCCACATCGTCTGGGGCTTGCTGGCCTTGGCATCGCAGCGAACACAAGTGCGTCCTATCTCCAGTCTTCTTAAGGGGCTGCCTCAGGGGCCGGGGGAACTTGGTGATGGGATACTGGCAAGCTTGTTTCTCCCTGGGGTGCTCTTCCGAGGCTATGTGGGCTGCCTTCTTAGCCTCAGGAGCTCTGGTGGCTTGTGGTTATGTGTTCAGCTGTTAACCACAGGTCTGAAGTTCGAGACCACCTGCCCCTTTGGAGAAGGGCGGGGCTGCCTGCTCCCATAAAAGGTTACCGTGTTGGAAACTCACGGGGCGGTCCCACCCTCTTTTCCAGGGTCGCTAGGAGTCGGCATCGACCCGATGGATGTGAGTTTGGTTTTTTGGTTTTCTGAGCCTCAGTGTTTTGGGCCGCCGGAGAGCGGGTGACATGCAGATCTTTATTTGTGTGCGGGGCTGTGGACATCTCTCCACCGCACGACCTTCTTGGCCTTTAATGCCTTTGCACTGGCTGCCCTTTGGGGAGGACAGGGCCTTTGTTCTTTGCCTTGGGCACCATCTTTGTTTAAAAAACAAAACCATCCCATATACTCTCATGTGGTGATGTTTACAGCGTATTTTATGGATACCAATCCCAAACCAAACCTGTTACTGTGAAGTTAATTCTGACTCATAAGGACACTAACAACAGCATGGAACTGCCCCACAGGGCTTCCTAGGCTGTGGTCATTACACTTGCTCTCAGCCCAAAGGCAGAGAAGCGGTAGGCTGTGATCTTCATGGGAATGGAGTCTCGGGTCTTTTCCCCCTTGGAGCCAGTGAGTGGGTTCGAACCAGCCACCTTTGGGTTAGCAGCTGAGCACTTAGCATTGGATTACCAAGGCTCCTCCCTCACTTATCTAAAGATCCTTTAATATTGTAAGTGTGACTATTTGAACCAGAGCTGAGATCTTCAAAGCACTGAAGAAGACCTCTGGGCGGGCCGTCAGAACAGGGCATGGGGACTCTGTGCTGCGGTTCAATCCGGGCCATTAGAACCCAGACCAGGCCCACAGCAGCTCTACGGAGCGCTCCTTCAGATCGTCCCAGGAACAGACAGTCGAGGTTTGACCCACTATGCCACCAGGGTCACCTGGCAAGAGAAAAGGCATAAGAGGCAGATTGGAAATGAAGTAAAACTGTCTTCATTTGCAGATGATCTGATCTTGTTCATAGAAAATCCTGAAGTGTTCACTGAAATTAGAGCCAATAAATTAGTTCAGGAAGGTTGCAGGATGTAAGTTCAATGTACAAAAATTAGTTGCATTTCTTTTTCTTTTTCTTTTTTTTAATCGTTTTATTAGGGGCTCATACAACTCTTATCACAATCCATACATACATCAATTGTGTAAAGCACATTGGTACATTCATTGCCCTCATCATTCTCAAAACATTTACTCTCCACTTCAGCCCCTAGCATCAGGTCCTCATTTTCCCCTCTCCCTCCCCGCTCCCCTCTCCCTCATGAGCCCTTGATAATTTATAAATTATTATTTTGTCATATCTTGCCCTGTCCGACATCTCCCTTCACCCACTTTTCTGTTGTCTGTCCCCCAGGGAGGAGGTCACATGTAGATCCTTGTAATTGGTTCTCCCTTTCCAACCCACTCTCCCTCTACCCTCCCAGTATCGCCACTCACACCACTGGTCCTGAAGGGATCATCCGCCCTGGATCCCCTGTGTTTCCAGTTCCTATCTGTAGCAGTGTACATCCTCTGGTCTAGCCAGACTTGCAAGGTAAAATTCGGATCATGATAGTGGGGGAAGGGGTGTAGGAAGCATTTAGGAACTAGAGGAAAGTTGTATTTTTCATCGTTGTTACATTGCACCTTGACTGGCTTCTTCTTTTTTTCAGTTACAAGGAATAATCTGAAAGTGAAATTAAGAAAGCAATTCCAATCATAATCTCAACAAAAAGAATAAACTACCTCAGAGTAAATTTTCCAAAAGTAGTGTGAAACTTGAACGCTGAAAACTAACATGTTGAAAGAAATTTTAAAAACCAAAATTTATATATATACATAAATGTGCTGACACCCAGCCGGTGTGATCATGAGGTGTCAATGGGATCAGGTA